ACGTCAGCCTTGGATCGGACACGTGGCAAGAGGTTTGGGAGAAGGAACGCGGGCTCCCGGGTCCTGCAGCACGTGGCGGGGGGAGGGGCGCTCCTCCCCCCTGCCCATTTCCCGGGGCGCTTTTCCACCAGGTCCACCTGGGCGCTGAGAAACTGAGGGTGGAGAGGTTTCCGAGAAGCGCCAGCCCTTCGGGGTTTGCTGTTCCTTTCTATCCACACACCGCCCCCCCCCGAGGTGGGGGGGTCGTCATTAGGCTGCTGCTTTAAGCGAGTTGTCGCCACCCAGCGGTCCAGGTGTGTATTGTCCTCCCGCTGGCAGGTAGAGGTACTGTACTAGGTTCATGCTCTTGACGCTCTCTCCCCTCAGGGCAGCTTGGTAGATGGACGCATTATTGACACTTCTCTGAGCAGAGACCCTCTGGTTATAGAACTTGGCCAAAAGCAAGTGATCCCAGGTATGTGACCTGCGTCTCTCGTTCCATTTCTTTCCAACCTAAGCCCTTCCTTAGTCTCTTTAACCCCAAAGCTGCCCTGGAAATGCTCCCTGGAATGAGTAAGAGCCTAGGGATGGGTCTTGCAGCTATCTCCTAAGGCCCAAACCCCACTTCTAATACTCCTTTTTATCCCATACCCCACTGGACGCCATGGATTTGAGAAGCTGGGCAAAGCCCAAGCGATGGTCTTGGATCTTCCTTTTGGGTAATTTGGGGAATGTGGGCAACTTGCAGTTATGTTTTCTTTTTCAAGGTCTGGAGCAGAGCCTGCTAGACATGTGTGTAGGGTGAGTATCTGGGCAGGGCTGGGCCTGGGTACCTCTTTGCTGGGATAGAGATTTCTCTGCCATCCTGATGCTTTTCCAGGAGGCAGAAGAATGTGAGATAAAGGGGCCAGGCTTCGAACTGGATAGGCAAGTCTGTGGGACCCTTGAGGACATCCAGAGCCTCTGAGCTTCTCTAGCTGTTGGTTTTGTTGAGAAGCTGAGACATCAGGGAGGACACCTTTACTGGTCAACTTGTTAGGTTCTCAGGTGGGAGAGGTCATGTTTGGGGTATGACTATCCAAGGGGTTCTGCTGGCGGAGCCTCAGGGATGAAGGCAGCTGGCCCACTGCCTCTGGTTGTGACACACATTGCTTTCCTCAGAGAGAAGCGAAGGGCAATCATCCCTTCTCACTTGGCCTATGGAAAACGGGGATTTCCACCATCTATCCCAGGTAATCTGATTAGGCCTATCTTCTTAGGCCATCAAGATACCTATTCCCTATGAACAACAAGGAAAACTATGACTCTCTCTCTGGAGCTTGAGCTTGAGAAGATAGATCTAGATCACTTTTACTGAAAGGAACAGTAGTGGCTGGGGCTTCCTTCTGTGGGACCACTTCTTTCCTCCTCAGATCACCAGTAGGGACTATAGACATATAACCTGTTAAGGCCTTTGCTTTGACCTATGACCACTGGCAGCCTTTGAGGAAAGAGATAGCTGCTTGAGTCACGTGGGACTGCTGCTTATGCTACCCCTCCTGGAGCAGCCAAGGAACTCAAACAAAATAAAGAAAAAGCAACCTTTAAATGCCAAGACCAGCCCATGATTTTTTTTTTTTTTTTTTTTTTTTGAGACAGGGTCTCCCTATGTAGTTCAGGCTGGCCTTGAACTCACTGTGTAACCCAGGCTGCCTCAAACTTGGAGCAATCCTCCTGCCTCAGCCTCCTGAATGCTGGGATTATAGGTGTGCACCACCATACCTGGCTAACCTATAATTTTAAAAGCCCTCATATATAGCATTGTTGATATCTAGTCTCATAGGGCTGAGACTGGTCAGATTTCCCAAGATACATCTCTTACTGTTAACAGATGTTCTGTTTGTCAAAATGTGTTTTACTCCATGGAACATTAGGAGTATTATTATTATCTTAGATCCAGCTTAGCAGGAGGCCTGAAAAAGAGGGTAAGGAGACTAAGGAAAAACTGTGTGTGTGGTGTGTATGTGTGCGCGCGCGCGTGTGCATGCACACGTGTTACTGGGGACTGAACCCAGGCCTTTTCATTGGGCTTCATCCCCAGCTCTTTATTATTTGATACAGGGTCTCACTATGTAGTTCAGGCTGGTTTTGAACTATGTAGTCTAGTTTGGCCTCAAACTCATGGTGATCCTCCTGCCTCAGCCTCCCCAGTGCTAGAATTAAAGTGTATACCACTGTGCACTTCTCCTTCCTCTAGCTCCTATCTTCCACCTGCCCCTTCTTAACTCATTCTTTCTTTTTCCCCAGTGCTAATGTCAAAACACCCATTTTGTAATAATTACATTGAGTGTGCTCATTGGTTGGTGGAATGTAAAAGATGTCTAGTTTAAATTTAATTAATTCAGCCCTGCAAAAATCCTGCCCATGTGGCTGTTTGGAAATGAGGCTTAGTTGGTATAGCGGGTTCTTCCACGTCAAAGTGGAGAAGAATTACATGTTTCCTATTCCCGTGTCAGAGACCTGTCACTGAAGCCAAACCCATGTGCAACTGGGTTAGCTGTCACTAGACTGATCGTAACCCTCCTCCGCCTTTATCTCGGGGACTCAACACCACATCTTCATAGTTCACGTGGCTGTGGCCCACCCTCCCTGTTTCAGAGCCCTGGATAAAATGCACAAAAACCCTAACCCTCACCTCCCTCTGCTTCTCCAGCGGATGCAGTGGTACAGTATGACGTGGAGCTGATTGCACTGATCCGAGCCAACTACTGGCAAAAGCTGGTGAAGGGTGTTTTGCCTCTGGTAGGCATAGCTATGGTGCCAGCCCTCCTGGGCCTCATTGGGTATCACCTATACAGAAAGGCCAGCCAACCTAAAGTCTCCAAAAAGAAGCTCAAAGAAGAGAAACGAAACAAGAGTAAAAAGAAATAATAAAAGTAGTAATTAAAAAAGAAACAAACAAAAAACTTCTTTTCATTCTTACCTGATACTTTTCTCTGAGGCTGCTTGTGGAATAAGGTGAAGGGCTCAGTAAAAAGGCTTTCCGGACCTGGATCTTGCCTGGGGTGGAGGTTGGAGGCCTGTACCGCCTTTTCCCCTGGCCTCTCCTTGCTGTCCTGTGGTCCGCGAGGACCTGGTCTGATGTCTGCCCGTAGGATCTCCAGGTCCTCATGGTACCAAGAGGCCAAGCAGCCATGCTTCACTGAGCGTGAGCCTCCCAGTATCGCCTGACTACTCTGTACTCCCTGGGACTGTGGTAATCCTCGTGTCCTCAAAACAGGTGGCTGTGTCTAATGTGGCACAAATATAAGGAGTCATAGATTCTGTGAAGATTTTAATAGAAAAGCACTCGGGTCTCCCCCAAAATAAAATGTTACGATTGGAAAGAGACTTCCTGCTTGTGTCACAGGGTGTGAGCAATCACATGGGCTGCTTCGACAATGTTGCAAGGGGTTGGAGGTTGCCTGTGGTTCGGCTGGGCCCCCGCTGTGGACAAGGGCTGAGGCAAGTTGCTCCGGTGGTTGACGATGAACAGTGGGTTGAGCTGGCCCAGCACTTCGTCGCTCACCGAGATGCCATCCAAGTACTGCTGGAGCATCTCCCGCAGCTTCCTGTTGGTTTCCAGCAGCTGGGCTCGCCTGTGCTGGAGGCTCAACTGCTCCAGTTTCACTTTGTTGTACCTTTTCCAGAAATTCTCCATCCCTGGGTAGTCCACCACAACCTAGGGGGTTGGAGTGGAGGGAGAAGGTGTGCAGCAGGGCTCCCTAGCAAATGCCACCCCCACCCCCCACTCTACCCCGTACCTTTGCCAGCTCTTCGGTGAGCTCTTCTCCGCTCTGCACCTCGGTCTCCTGCTCCTCCAACGTCAAGACTGATGAGTAGAAAGGCAGAACTTTCTCTTCCTCAGTTTCTAGTTTCCTACATATTTCAGCAAGTTTAAGGATCCTTTCACCCTGTTGAAAGCAAGTGAGGAAGACTTAGGGAAAAGGGTGGGAAGGGGAGACAGTGGACTCGATTCACCGGCTTGAACCCAGGAAAGCTCATCCAACGAGAGACAACAGTAACAAATACACGTAACATGCAGTGTGCACCATGGGCCAGGCACTGTCCCAACTAATTCTTACAGAAGTAACTCATCTGTTATTGTTTTGTTTAAAATGTAAGAAGATGGAATAAGAAAGGTAACCCAAAGCATCCACTTAGGCGGGAAGGAAGCCTTCCTCTTCCTCTCTGAGCCTTCACCTCAAACTAGCTCCCTTGGCTTTGTTCTGATTACCCTTACCTCCTTGTTTGTTTGTTTATGTATTTATTGGTTCTGGAGATCAAGCCCAGGTGTGCTCTGCCACTGAGCTACATCCCCATCCCAACCCTTCTTTTTGGAGACAGAATCTTGCTAAGTCCCCCTTAAACTCGAAATTCTCTTGCCTCAGCTTCCCTAGTGCTGGGATGATAGCATTCTCCACCATGCCCAGCTCCCTTTGTTACCTTATCAACGACCTTTCTGAGTGCCTTGAGGGTGGCATTACTTTCCCGGGTGAGTTTGACCAAGTTCTCCTGGGATATTCCCCGGGCCTGACTCCTTTGGGCCTTAAGTTTTCGCAGCTGTGTAAGGACCAAATCCTTGTCGTTGCGGATGTACTGGTTCTGATCCTCACTCTCACGGCTGTGTACCATGATCCTGCCTTTTGAAACAGCTATGGCCTCCTGGAGGGACAGAGTAGATGGAGGAGACCAACAGGAGATAGAGGTCCACAGTGAGACTGAAACCCAAGCAAATTGCCTCTTCCCACCCAGCGATGAGTGGTGAGACCCACAAGACTGGGTCCCTATGGAGCAGTATTTCCAGTAGGCTGTGCTAACCTGTAATTTCTGTATTTTTTTCATCTGTGCTTCAATCTCTCTGGAGCTCTTCTCATCCTTCACCTTCAGGGTCTCAAAGGCAATCTTCCTGTCCTCTGTGGCATCAGTGTAACTCTTGAGTGCCTCCTGGAACCTTTTCCACAGATCTTCTACTATATTTTCCAGTTGTAGTCGTAGAATGTGCTTCTCTTCTAAATTCTAGGAAATGCCCCCAAATACTAAATGCTTAGAATAATGTATTAGTGTCCTTCACTTCCACCAAAAATCTCATCCACTTTATTTCGGTATTGGGGGTGGAACACGGGGAGCATGCCAAAATTTTCTTTTGTAGTTTGAAACAGGGTGTCACTAAGTTTCCTAGGCTGGCCTTGAACTTGTGATCCTCCTGCTTCAGCCTCCCAAGAACTGAGATCACAGGCCTAGACAACCTCACTCTCTGAAATTGTTCAGAGCATGGGTGTCCAATCTTTTGGCTGCCTGGGCTGCAGTGAGTGAAAATTGTCTTGGGCTGCATATAAAATATATAATATAGTTAATGTATATAACTAACAAAACGTCCTTAATATTTAACTTACTAGGGCTGGGGATTTAGCTCAGTGGTTCTGGCACTTGCCTGGCAAGCACAAAGTCCCGACTTTGATCCCCAGTCCCCCCCAAAAAAAATAACTTAGAAAATTATTTTACGAAATAACCTAAGCCCAAGATTAATAACTAAATAACTTCCATGTCTGCTTCATAACAATAAACACCTGTCTTCAAGACATGCATACGTGAGGTAAGGTTGAAATACTATTGTTGGTAACTGCTGTTCTCGTCAGGGTCACACAAGTACGTGACACGTGTAACTTCAACTGTGGCTGACTGTGGCAGGCGTAGGAGGAGTTAGCACTGCTCTGTGCTCCCCCTACAGTGTTCCGTAGGCACCTAAGCAGTCTGGGCTTGAGTCCTGACGTATATGGCTACAGATCAATAATGTTAGAAGCTCATGAGCTTTCGGGGCTGCGTCAATAGCTGTTCAGGACCACACGTGGCCATGGGCTGCGGGTCGGGCACACCTGGTGTAGGGCACTGTTTAGGGCAGAAATCACAGATGAAAATGTCTGCAGGACCAGGCAGACGATGTGAGTGTGCTGTGGACCGAGTGGGGCCTGTAGTAGTGGGGCCAGGGTGGTGAGGTTCTCTCTGGTGAGGTGGGTGGGAGGGCGCGCAGCTCCGTGTGAACATTCCCACTGACCAATACGGGGCTGTTGCCAGATCTTACATTTTTTCATGGGAAGCTGAAAATTTGGATTTTAAGTGAAATCTTTCCAATTTCTCTCTCTCTCTCCTTTTTTTTCATTGAGCTTGCAAGGCCGGCATGGCACCACTGAGCTAAATCCCCAGCCCTCCAGTTTCTTTTTTATTTTTTTAAAGTTTCTTTTTGTTTGTTTTTTGCAACATTGAGGGTTGAACCCAGGGCCTTCCCACTGAGCTACAGTCCCACTCCATTTATA